TGATACAAAGACTCAGAAGGCAAGGGGCTCACCACCTGGTACAGCTCTTCCAGCTACTAGCAAAGTGTCACAGAACAGAACTGGCCTTACATTCACCCACCTTCATGGAGTGAGAGGAGACTTCCAGGACTTCCTGATTGATCCCATTATGATATCAGCTCCACCCAGAGGGCCTAATCTAATCATGAAAATAGACATGGTGATTAAGTCACCTAAAACTCTAATTCTCAGCAAAGGTGTTACTCACCAGTGGGAGCATTTTGAAATCCAGAGTTAGCCCTGTGGGTTCACTTTTGTATAAGGTGCTATGATACTAGCCAAGAGAACTAGGCTGCTTGGAAACTTGTCACTGGCCTCTCCAACGAATTAATCAAGGTGATTAAGTCACCCAAACTACTAAATCTCAACAAGGGTTTGGCCACCCTGTTGGGAGCATTTTTGAAATGTATAGCTGTGGGTTTACATGGTGAAGGAGGTCTGAGAAAGATAGTGACCAAGTAAACTAGCCTAACTATTAAGCATGTCACTTCTCTGTGATGTGTTGTTCATGAATTGGTTGGAAATTCTATTTAACAAGTTTGAAACTACATTTAATTCAATAATACATATAATTACAAGTATTATTGCACTTTAATATATATTTGAATTTTCAAGCAATGTAACTGTGTAAATTGGAGTTACATAGGAAGAGTGTATGTAAGCCCAAATATTCACAGAATCATTCACCAATACAAACAGATCACACTCTGTACAACATCCCTGCAGAGTACATTAGGAGCTGTAATACAGCATTTTCTGCATTTGATACTCCTAAAATCATGATTTTCAAGGACACCAAGGAACTGAAGCGTCTGCCAACTTTCTATGCCTTCAAGTACAGCTTTGAATATTTCCATACTAAAATACATTATTATTCCCTCCTCTTCTACTTTTCACAATACTTTAAGAAGGAAGTTTATTAGCTCTTTAAATTTTTGGTAGAATTCAGCTGTGAAGCCATATGATAGGAACATTTGTTGGTTGGGAAATTTTTTATTACCAATTCAATTTTATTACTGATAATTGGTCTATTCAGATTTTTTATTCTTTCTGGATCAGTCTTGAAAGGTTCTATTTTTTTAGGAATTTGTCCATTGCTTCTAGGTTGTCTAATTAATTGCATATAACTTTGCATAATGTCCTCTAATAATTTTTTGTAGTTCTGTGGTATCCATTGTGACTATTCCTTCTTTGTTTCTGATTTTGTTTGCGTACTCTCTTTTTTTTCTTGATAAGTCTGGCTAGAGGTTTATGTATTTTGTGTATTTTCTCAGAAAACCAGCTCCTGGTTTCATTGATTTTCTTCTCTTGTTTTATTATTCTCTATTTTATTTATTTCTGCTCTGATCTTTATTATGTCCTTCCTTCTACTAACTTTGGGTTTCATTTGTTCTTCATTTACTAGTTTCTTTAATTGTGAGTTTAGACCGTTTATTTGGGATTATTCTTGTTTCTTGAGGTAAGCTTGTATGGCTATGTACTTCCCTCTTAGTACACTTTTGCAGTGTCCCACGAATTTTTGACTGTTGAATTTTTGTTTTCATTTGTCTCAATGTATGGGTTAACTTCTGTTTTAATTTGTTCATTGATCTATGGATTATTTACAAGCATGCTGTTAGCCTCTATATATTTGTGGGCTCTTTTAGTTTTCCTTGTGTAATTTATTCTTAGTTTCATACCATTGTGGTCTGAGAAACTGCTTGATACAATTTCCATCTTTTTTGAATTTATTGAGGCTCTTTTTGTGGCCTAGTATGTGATCTATTTTGGAAAATGTTCCATGTACACTTCAGAAGAATGTGTATCCTGTTGCTTTTGCGTGGAATTATCTGTAGATATCTGTTAAGTCCATTTGACCTAAAGTATTGTTCAGAGCCTCTGTTCCCTTATTTATTTTCTGTCTGGTTGATCTATTGATGTGAGTGCTGTGTTAAAGTCCCCTAAAATGAAGGTGTTGCAATCTGTCTCCCCCTTTAATTATGTTAGTATTTGTTTTATATATTTAGGTGCTCCTATGTTGGGTGCATAGGTACTTACAATGGTTATATCCTCTTGTTGGACTGACCCCTTATAATTATATAATGTCCTTCTTTGTTATCCTTCAAGGTTCTCCATCCATAAAAACATTGTAAATAGTCTATTAAGCTATCAGATCACATCCAAAGATCATGCTCGTCAAGGAAGTCTATGTTCGTCATGCATCCAGGCTCAAAACACTTTTCCATTGAAATCCCAAAGAGCTTATGAAAGTGCATTCATTAGTGTGATAATTTGATTATTATCTTTCTTCCCCACTGGATTGAAGTATCCTGAGAGCAGGGATTGTGAGTGTTTTTGTTTAACAATGTTACCTATACTTAGCATAATGTCATGCCCATAATAGTCATTCAATAAATATTTGTTGTGTTAATTAATTAAAAGTAAAGACAAAAAGTTTAAAAAAACCCTGACCAGTTGAAGTAGCACATAAGTCTCTTTAACAAAAATTTAGAATAGATTATTAATAAAACTCAATTACTTGAGTATCTCTGTAACAGAAACCTTGTCAGCAGGAATTGATTAAACGACTTCCGTTAATGTTTTGACACTTTGATGATACTGCCAGTTTCCAAAATGTGAATCTAATTGTATCTCTGGAGCTGATGATCTGTCTCTAGGCCTTGGGAAAATTACCTTTGAAAGTGAAATCAGCCAAAGGGAGAAATAAAGTGGGGGAAATCCATTTATTACCTACAACCAATCATCTTAAGTATAGGGTTATGTAGGTGACTGTGTTGTTCTGGATCTGGCATTCTTTGTCAACTAGGTTTATTTACACTTCGAGGTCTGTCATCAGCCCTGGTTACAAAGTTACTTGATTAAGGAGCAGGAAGAAGAGGAAAAAAACAGCATACAGTTTAATTATAAGAATAAGCTGGGCTTTTTGCAGCCTAAATATATTTCACAAGGCCTGATCTAATTGATACAATGAACACACAGGCTGTGCTCTGATATTTTTCTTTATCTTGGAAATATCCGGGCATTCTAAGTTACTGCTGGCCTTTGAAACTCATTAACTCATTAACTCTGTGAATCTTTTCTGGCTCTCTGGCTTTATCTGGTTAATTTTTTGATTTCTTTTAGTGGGCTTTACTGGCTTTATTCTCTCTTCACCCTGTTTATGTCTATTATTTTTGCTTAACAGTTTCACCACTCAGGAGCTGGCTGTAATAAGGCAGCACTCTAGAGCATCACAGATTCCCCTGTAGTCACCAAGGGAGGCCAACCAAAAACGTGCCACTGGGGCATACTGACTTTGAATTAAAGTGACTGGAGACCCATCCAGTGCAGGAGGAATATTCTTGTCTGTTACCCCACTCAAATCAGGAAATAAGTCTCCTAGGTGAAAGTTACTTTCCCTGTACTGGGAAGTAAAGAGACATCATTGACCGGATATATGGAATTTAGAACCCCAGAATGCTGCAAAATCAAATATTGTTACTTTTTTACTAATTTACTAATGCTCACTGGAATCCTTACTAGGGGAAGATCCCAAACATAGGTTTTCTTTGTCCTTTCAAGTCCTCACAGATTTATTGTCTCTTTGTCTAAAATGTATAAAAACTGCCTGACTTGGTCATTACTTTGGGTCACAATTTCATGATTCGGCCTCTGTGTACACATACTTAAACTTTGGTTATTTCCCCTGTTTATCTGTCTCAAGTCAATTTGATTCTTAGACCTGCCAGAAGAACCATGATGGCTAAAGGAAAATTCTCCCTGCCCAAAAGCTGCTTTCCCTTGCCTAAGACTCAGTGTCATACCAGAAGAATTATCTTTGGTCAAGAATAGGAACCCAACCTCCAGTATCCATGACAAGTGTTGCACAGAAAATTCCCTTTTCAGGGACTGACACTTACTCATATGGTCCTCTCATAGTTAGTGATATAAGTCATGGACATATTAGGTGAAGGTACATGACAAACTGCTGATTAATATCCTTTTTTTATAAATATAGACAGATCACATTAGTGTCTGTCTATATTTATGGATATATTCATGTAATTTTTAGGTAGCTTCACAAGGATACATAAAGACACATAGAGAAAAATATGGAAGGATACACACCAAATTAGTAACCAATCTAATGGTTATTTTTAGTGAATTCTTCTTTCCCCTGATTTACTAAAGTCTAATTAACAGATAAAACTTGCATTTATTTAAGGTGTACATCATGATGTTTTGATATATGTATACATATATCAAATATGAAATGACAACCACAAGTAAGCTAATTACCTATTCATCACATTCATAGTTACCATTCATGTATAGGTGATAAGAACAATTAAGATCAAATCTCTCAGCAAATTTCAAATGTATGATACAGTATTATTAACTATAATTACTATTTTGTCCACTAGATCACCAGAAATTATTCATCTTGCATAACTGAAACACTGTATGTATGTGATTTGTAAGTGGTTGTTCAGGGATGTCACAGGATGTCTCAGAGGGTGAAAATTCAGTAAGGAATAACTGAACAAATTCCAAGGCCAGGGCACTGTTCTCATTTGATCTATTACCAAAATAAGGTTGATAACATGGAGGCTACATGATTTTGGAAACTCAATTGTCTGGCCACAGGTTCTGTGCAGGAACTAGATTGCTGAGTCAAGCATGACACTGCTCTCTCTATTGCTTTGGCAGTAGAAGATCCAAGTCCTATAACCTCCCTGGTGAACTTGCTCCAGAAACAGAATTCACTGAGCTATTTCCTAGTGTTTCAGCTTCCTAGTACTATTCCCACCTATCACTTCTAAAGATCACATCATGGATGGCTAGAGATGCTGAAAACTCTGTTTCTCTTCCAAAGTTACTTCTGCTTTGGAAAAAATATGTGAGCCACCTGCTCTCGGATTTGTTTGGTCTTGATCCCATAAACGATGGGATTCAGTATCAGTGGAACCAGAATGCAGACATTAGCCAACAAGACAGTTGTGGATATGAGGTGGAATGTGGCGTCCAAACCGCTGAGTAAGGGTTATGAAGATCGCAGGCCCATAAAAAAGGATGATGATGCAGACATGTGAGCCACATGTGTTGAGAGCTTTGTGGTGAGTATCTTGGGAAGGCATGTGGGAGACAGCATGGAGAATCACTAGATAGGAAACAAAAATTAGCAGGACATCTAAGACCACTGTTGACATTATGACAAAAAGTCCATACCAGATGTTCACTCGAATGTCATTACAAGCATATTTGGCCAAACCAATGTGTTGACAGAAGGTATGTGGAATGATATTGTTTTGGCAGAAAGTCAACCTTTTTAAAAGAAATATGATTGGGAAAATTGTACAATAACTTCTGAGAAAGACTGTCACACCAATTTTCTGAATCAGCGCATGTGTAAGAATAGTGGTGTACCTCAGTGGGTAGCATATGGCAATGAAGCGGTCAAAGGCCATCACCAGCAAGATCCCTGACTCAGACATGAAGGAGCAGTGGATGATGAAGAATTGGGCAATGCAGCGATCCAGGGAGATCTCCCCAGCATGGAACCAGAAGATGGCCAGGGCCTGAGGCACTGTGCATATGGAGAGGACAATGTCTGCTCCGGCCAGCAAGCAGAGGAAGAGGTACATGGGCTCATGGAGGCTGCGCTTTGTGAGGATGATGCAGATGAGCAGGCTGTTCCCAAGGAGAGTGATGACGTAGGAAATGAGGAAGGGGATGGAAATCCACATGTGCTGGTATTCAAGGCCAGGGATGCCCAGCAAGCGGAAGACTGTGTGGATGACATCAGTGTGGTTTAAGGTAGTCATACTTTGGAGACCATCAGAGACATCACCCACTATTCACAGTGAGAAGAAAATACAGATTTTCTCAAAGAGTTCTGTGTGAAGTCACAAAGAGTCTTTGACATATCTCACACTCTCCATTTTCTTTGAACATGCAGATAAGAAATTTAAAAAGTCAACAGGTTATTTTCTCAACCTCAACCAGTAATAGTCTAATTAAAAGACATATATAACTCCAGCTAATAAAATTAAACATATTACTGTATGTATTTCTCCTACAAACAGAGGATTATTAATACACAAATGAAATCATTATATGTAACATATATATATGTTCCTTGAAGGAAGGCTGTAACAAGATGTTTCTTGACCTTGTGATGAGCAGTTTATCATAAGGAGAATAATGAAAAGAGAGAGAAGCAGCGGAAGAAAATGTGGGTATTCAAATAAAAGTATAGCATGTTTGTGAAACAATGTTCAGCTCCAGGTGGCTGTGCATGGGGAGTACTGAAGAAAGCAGGCCAGGTGGTTGGATAGATATTTGGCCCAGATCATGGAAATGAGTTTGAAATCTATCTGACTTCACTGCATACAATTTCTCATTTATTAAGAGAGTCAAGAGAACTTTAAAGAGATTGACCAGACCTGTGTGCCTGAATTGAGGCACTGCTCATGCTCACACCTTAGGGAATTAAGTTTAGAAATGGCTAAATTGGGAAAATAAAGCATTATTGCAGTAATGAAAGTGCATCATATTTGGAAGATTTTTCTGCAGGTGAAAATTTTATCATTTCACACTTGATGTACGTTTGTTTATTCATTATCTCAGCCATTCAGGAAGCAGTAACTATTTTTAATTAAGCACCATATTACAAACCAGGAATATAGGGGGAAAGGAGAATCTGCCTGAGTCCTGAGGGCTTATGATTTAAGAGAAAACCAAATTTGTAGCCAGACAGGTTGAAGAATTGGAGACAAATGTTAATTCCCCCTATTGAAGAGGTATTTAATAAGATCTAAAAATAGAAAAGATCCATTGTGTTTATGTACCACATCTTCTTCCCAGGCAGAGAAAGACATGTACCAAATGATTTCACTCATATGTGGAGTATAAGAACAAAAGAAAACCGAAGGAACAAAACAGCAGCAGAATCACAGAACCCAATAATGGACTAATAGTTACCACAGGGAAAGGGACTGGGCAGGAGGGGTGGGAAGGGAAGGACAAGAGGGGAGGGGGAAGAAAGGGGGCATTATGATTAGCATGTATAGTGTGTCTGTGGGGCACGGGAGGGCTGTGCAACACAGAGAAGACAAGTAGTGATTTTACAGCATCTTAACTACGCTGGTGGACAGGGACTGTGACGGGGTACGTGGGGGGGGGGAACTTGGTGAAGGTGGGAGCCTAGTAAACATAATGTTCTTCATGTAATTGTAGATTAATGATACCAAACTGAAAAAAAAGAAAAGATCTACTTCAGTAGTTGAGTTATATTTATCCTCATTAACATTTTTTCTTCCACTCCAGTTACCTCCTTAGAGCCTCTGATTTTCCTTTCTGCAGAGGAAAATCAGCTCCAATGACCATCTTCCAAGTACTCTGAGGAAGTGTTTTGCCATCAGAGTCACCAATCAAAGGAAGCCAGTCAACTGTTCTAGGTCAGGGCACTGCCTTCCGTAGGGCACCCGGATGTTCTGTAAGACAAGTTCTCTCCAGTGATGGTGGCTGACCTTCTGCAGGATAACAAGTGGGACAACACTGGAGGGACATAAAGCAGATGTGCTGCACAACTGATCAGGAAACGGAAGGAGGAAGACAGCAAGAAGGAAAAGGGCATGGGAGACACAATCAACAAAGGCAAGGCTGTAGAGGAGGGCAGATTATGGAAGATGGTGACGGTCCCATGTTTGGGGAAAGGGAGCAGCAGAAGAAATTTTACTGATTGAAGCCAGAGAGAGAAGCAGGGGACTTCAGAGGTTGAGTATTTGCCCGCTCGGTTGGTCTCCTGACAACGTTAGAATGACTTTGGTCTGACACAGTTCATCCTAAATGCCACACTCAATGCTCCTGTCACACAGGTCTCTTCTCTCACCTGCCCAAGATGTCCTGGTCTGCTTCCTACACCCTGCTTTGGGTAGCCCAGCACAGATCCCAGTAATTCTCAGGGAAATTCTCATATTTGCAAACAGAGGTCTGAAGTCTCAGTCAGTATCATTTCTATTTTCTCATGTTCTGTCAAATTGTTGGGACACTTGTCATATAATGGATTACTTCTCTCTCTTTTTTTTTTTTTTACTAACTTCAACTGTCCATACAATCTCATCCTCCCTCCCCAGAACTCACCTTCCACTTCTACTATAAACAATGGCTTTATGACTCTGGTCTTTATTATTCTTTGTGTACACATATCAATAGCCTCCAAGAATCTGGCCTGTCTGGACACATCACCAGCCCAGTCCTTACCTTGATGCTTAAACTATTTCACTCCAGATGTCTAATTCACCCACTAACCTTTATGAAGTCTTCAGAAACAGCCATGAGATTGGTGATGAAATTCAGCTTTTTGGAAGCCAGATAGTTGTGCTGTTTATTGTCTTTCATGAAAGCCGTTGAGAGAAGCACTTGTCTCAGGGACCCAGGGGTACAGCTTTCTCCACCAGCTTTGTCCTCGTCCCAAATGGCCTGCATCCCGGAAACTTAAGTCCATTTCCCCTGCTCCCTATCTTCTCTCCTGCTTCTCCTGCATGCTCTAATCTGCACCCTGACACCAAGTATTCACATTTATGTTTAAACACAAGAAAATCTGTCCCAGATAAACCAGCCTTGTAATACAGGCCTGTTTTAATACCTAAACTGGTATTAAATATTGAATTAAATTAATTAACATTAAAGTTATTTGCACTCTACAATATCAATGTATGCAATTAAAATGTAGATAACACACAAAGTTTTGCTCTTCATCTAAAGATGATGTTAAAGCTATATTCATCCCTGAAGTGCTTGTTATACTCATATTTTGCAATCATTAATAATGAGTTTTAATTATTTCCTAAGGGAATATAAATGTCCCTGTACAATTGGTAAAATACTTGTGATTCTTCACATTTCTGAAACATTTTTATTTTCTTTGCCTTTCTGTAACTCAGGGGGAAAATATTTTCCCAGCCCAGGGCAAATTACCTTTGAAACCAAAACCAGTCAAAGGGAGAAACAAAGTGAGAGAAGCCCATTTATTGCCAACAAGCAGTTGCCCACTTACGCTCCCCGGACTCTCCCATGACTCATCTGCAAAAAAAGGGACTCAACACAACCTCTCCAGTCCAAATAGGCCTTCACTCCCCCATGTAATCACCTATTAGATGGAGATGGACTTCTTTCTCCAATGCTTGGAAACACCTATTGATATGGAGATGAACTAAGGCCAGGTGAGAGATTCTGGAAATATTGTACTTTTATCACAGCCCACCCCTCAGAAATCTAGCCTCACAGTCTACGCACTCCCCATCTTCTGCAATGGCCCCTGTGCAAGAAAACCGGAGCACTATAAACAGACTAATAATATACCATAACAACAGCAATAAAATGATCATCCTCAAGCCATAAGATTCAGCTAGGATCAAAGTCCTATGCAGATTAAGTCCAAACCTCACCCATCCCACAGTCATTCAGTAGCTGAACAGGTAGGGAGTTAAGAGAAATCATCACATGGCAGCTGCAGCCAGGAGGTGGGTCCAGGCCACAGGGACTGTGGAAGAAAATAACCTTAAGGGTGATAAGATACATGTTTTAATGACACTAGCATACTCAAATCATGTCCATCAGGTAGGATGCATGCAAGAGAGTGGTCCTATGATAGGACAGTGGCAGGAATAGGATTTCATCCTGGTCTAGTATACCAGAGTTTCACCCCGACTTCCCTGTGGGAGTTAACGATCAGTCAATATAGAGAACTATGAGAGGTACATGCACTGGGGTCATAAAGATAAAACAAAACTTTCCCATAAGATGCTCTTACCTCCCAGACCTTTTGGTTTACTATCATAATATTTGAGGGCTAGTCTGCTATTACTCCAGGAAGAGTTCAAAGACAAATAACCCAATTGAAAACTGGACAAAGGATTTGTATAATCATCTTCAAAGAGGATAAAAAATAGCCAATAAGTATGAAAAGATGCTCAATTTTATTCTTCCTTAGGAAAATGCAAATCAAAAGTACAATGAGGAAGAGATGGAAGAGTAGGTAGGGAAAGCAGAAACCACCTCCCATGTACACCCAAGGAAGCAACTACAGCAAACACAACTAACCCTGAAAATGACCTGAAGGCTGCAGAACAGGCCATCTACACCTGCTGAGGAAGAGAAGACCACTTTGAGAAAAGTAAAGTGGCAGAGCCACAGTGGATCGGGAGATAAGGTCTTTCCCCATACCAGCCCACAAACAGGAGGGAGAGGAATGGAGCAAGGAGGGTGTAAGTGTTCAGAAATGCTGCACACTTGGCCCTGGATATGTGCTCTGCAAACACGAGCCCACATTGCACTGGGCATTGATGATTTATGGGGCTGGACACCAGGGAGAATTGGAACACTCTGGGAGGCTCTCCTGTCACCTGTGGAGGTCAGGAATGCTACACTGATCCCTAACAGTTTAAAAGGCCACAGTTTAAAAGATTTGCCAGCAGCAGGAAGTGTGACCAAGTGGTGAGAGTGGGAGGGAGTTCCTCCTAGAACTGAAAGGGCAGGTGATAATACTTCCCCAGCCCTCCCTAGTTCAGCTGGTGGAATGCCTTCAGGAGCCAGCTCCAAACACTCCATCTCCCTCACTGGCAGCTCAGCCCCACAGCAGTGCTCCCCTGTGCACCCTTCCCAACCACTGTGACTGGCCTAGCAGCTGCTGCCATTGTTGCCCAGCAGGTAGAGGGCAGCCCCACGCACAAAGATCCAGCAGAAGCTCCTCCCGACAAATGGTCAAAACGAGGTGAACTGTCACCCTCTGCTGATAGATCTCAGCCACTGCCCTAGACAG